GTCGTAAACCTGCACCTAGGCAGCCATCGGGCAAGTGGTCGTTTGACTCCTGACCGTGGCAGCAGGATCCCCTGGCAAGGCTCAGTGGTGACTGGGAAGCCTCTCAGTGACTGCACTGCCCACCTTCAATCAGGGAAATAAATGCCTGCCACTCAAAGTCTGGTCAGTTTACCGCGGCTCATCCATTTTGCAGTCGAAAACAATAAAAAAAATTTAAAAAAAGAAAAAGAAAGATAATCCATTGATCCTAAAATGTCAGAACTCTCCTCGATAGAGATAAGACCAACACACCTGAACGAAGGACCGCCCTTGTGGTAAGAGAACTCCACCGCTACAACACTGACATCGAAGCACTTCGTGAGAGGTGTCTTCCAGACGAAGGCTCACTAAAGGAAGAAGGAGGTGGCTACACCTTTTTTTAAAAAGGAAAACCACAGAAAGAATTCACGTAGTTGGCTTTGCCATCAGATCAACTCTCCTGAAGAGCCTTCCTGCTCTACCAGTCGGAATCAACGAGCGCTTAATGAAGCTCAACGTCCCCTTTAGCAAGTCTAGACACACCACAATCATCAGTGTTTACGCCCCCACACTCACTAGCCTGGATGTCACAAAGGAACAATTTTACCCACAGCTAACCGAGATCACTCAGTCCACTCCAAAGAACGACATGATTGTCCTGCTAGTTGGCTTCAGTGCCTGTGTAGGAAAAGGTAACAGCAGCTGGGAGAATGTTCCAGGGCTTCATGGAGTGGGCGTCAATGAAAATGGTCTCCTCCTCCCCAACAGGTGCGCTGAACATGGTTTGCGGATCACAAACACCCTTTTCAGAATGGCTGAAAAGTTCAAGACACTACTTGGATGCTCCCCAGGTCGAATCATTGGCACATGATCGAGTATGTCATTGTACGCGAGAGAGATGTAAAGGATGTCCACCTGACCAGAACCATGATAGGGGCCAACTGCTTGACAGACCATCGATTAGTGAAAACTGTCATGGACATGCATATCCAGCCACTTCACCGAAAAAATACCAAGGACCTCAGAGTCTCCCACAACTCAACAAAGCTGAAAGCGAATTCTACAGAAACAAGTTAGAAGAAGCTCTCGAAAAGAAATTCAGCGAAGATCCCATTCCTATTGGTGACTTTTCTGAAAAATGGACTTCCTTCAAAACAGCTGTCAGCGAAACAGCCACTGTTATACTTGGTCCAAAAGCGAAAAAAACACCAAGATTGGTTCGATGAAAACAATGAGCAAATTCAAGCTACTATCCACAAGCCAAGAACGGCAAACGACCCTTCATCCCTCCCCAGAGAGAAAAGATTCAAGTCCCTTAAAGCTAGAGCCCAGAAAGATCTACTTGAAATGAAAGATTCATAGTGGAACAATAAGGCCGAACAAGTTCAACTCTATGCTGATACCCACAACTCCAAGATGTTCTTCAGCTCTCTGAAAATCGTATACGGCCCAACAACCTCAGGATATTCTCCCTTGTTGTTCTCGGATGGCAAAATCCTGATCAAGAACCAAGAAAGGCTCCTCAAGCGTTGGAACGAGCATTTCAGCTCCCTTTTGAACAGACCTTTCATTGTTGATCAAGATGCTCTCAAATATCACTCCTGGAGGACCTTGACAGTCCTATTCTAGATGAAATCAAAAAGGCAATAAGCAAGACCAACTCCGGCAGAGCTTCTGGAAAAGACAGCTTTCTGGGTGAGATCTTCAACTTCAAGGCAGCAGGCCCTCCAGCCCTGGAAACCTTCCATGACATCCTGCTACAGATCTGGGAAAAGAGCAAATGCCTGCTGATTTCAGAGACACGCTCATAGTTGCGCTGTACAAGAACAAAGGCAGTAAAGCGGACAGCGGAAACTACAGGGGCATCTCCTTTCTCTCCATAGCAGGGAAAATATTTGCAATGGTTATCATCAACAGACTGATAACCATCTCAGAAAAGATCTTACCAGCTGCTCAGTGTGGCTTTAGGCCAGGAAGAAGAACTGTGGACATGATCTTGACCATTAGACAACTTCAAGACAAGTGAACAAAATAGAATATGCCTCTTTACTCAGTCTTTCTTGACCTTACCAAAGCTTTTGACACGGTCAACAGAGAAGCCCTGTGGATTCTCCTAGAATGAATTGAATGCCCTCCGAAGTCCCTAAAGATCATCCAGCTCTTCCACACAGGCATGAGTGGGCAAGTTCTTTCAAGTGGCAACATGACTGACTAATTCGAAATTACGCAGCAAACTTCAAAGGTATTTTGCGTCACATTTCGCCTCTCCAGTTCTGGCTTGTGTTTGTGTGTGTGTTGTTGTTGTATTTTAGGGGGGGGGGGATGTGGACGGCGCTGATCGTGGCGTTAGACCCAAGACGCGAAGTCTGTGACGTCTCCTCCTGGTGTCACTCCTAGTACCGGTACTGGCAGTTCTCGGCACTAGAGCCGAAAAAGTACCGACACTGGGTTTCATCGGTACCACCCTGCACTAGCTGGCACAGGTCCTCTTAATAAAAACAATAGTAATAGATAGCATTTGTATAGCGCAAATCCCCGCTCAACAGCTAGCCCTATGCGCTTCACAATCTATACTATTACCCCAGCAGACCTGAGAGCATTCTGAAACAAACTGAACATCCTGGGAAGCATATAGTGCAAGCAGCAATTTACAGGCGCTAAAACACTTATATGCCTACCAGATCTCTCGCTGTCTAAGGCCTGGTACCCAATCCCACCTGAGTGAAATGAGGAAAATTCGTGTAAAGTGCATTTCCCAGGGACACAACGTCGGGCCTGCGGCTCGAACCCCCCAACCTGCAACCTCACGATTACGAGTCCGGTAGCGTAACTACTAGGCCACCAATATCTTTTTCGCTGCTATGCTTTCCGGTGCCTTCAAGGATCTTGACATGGGAATATACCTAAATTATCGACTGGATGGCTCTCATTTTGATCTGCGTCGCCTGCAAGCCCAGACAAAAACCAATACAAAACTCCTTCAGGAGGCGCTCTTCGCTGATGACTGCTCCTTGAATATTCACTGTGAAGTGGACCTGCAAACAACGCTCAGTCGCTTTGAAGAAGCCTCGAAGTTTTTCGGACTTACAATAAGCAAACTGAAGTTCTTCACCAGCCTGCTTCACAAACAAACCCACTTTCTCCAAACATCACTATTAATGGCATCAGCAAGAACTTTAAATACCTCGGAAGTATCATCTCTGCCGATGTTTCCATAGATCAGGAAATTGATTCACGAATCAGCAAAGCCAGTCAAGCTCTCGGTAGACTGAAAAATAAGGTACTAAAACAGCACAATGTCCGGCTATTAACAAAAATCAAATTGTACAAAGCCGGTGTGCTCTCCTCCCTCCTCTTCGATTGGGAGACCTGGAATCTCTACAAAAAGCACATCAACATATTAGAGCAGTTCCATCAAAGGGCTCTCCCCATGAAGCTTGGCTTCCGGTGGCAAGACTGCATCACCATCATTGAGGCCATCAACCGATCAAGCTCACAAAGTTTAGAAAGCATGCTTGTCAAAGCCCAACTGAGATGGGTCGGCTATGTCATTCGTATGGAAGACCACCCTATACCCAAACCACTGCTGTACGGCGAACTCACAAGTGGCAAAAGAAATCTCGGGAGGCCAAAAAAGCGGTTCAAAAGGAAGCACCCAGTTAGAACCGGTTACTCCCAAAGAACTCGAAAGAGCTGCCACTGAAAGGAACGCCTAGCGCAGGGCCGTCCGTCTTGCCAGTAGAAACAGCGATACCAACTACAGAGAGATAAGAAGCTAACTATCAGAAGAGAGAGGAGACAAAGTCCGACAACCCCAACCACGACATTCCAGTGTCCCTACTGCAATAGACATTATACAACCAGGATCGGATTGCATAGCCACATGCGAGTCCACAGATGAGCTGCAGGTTTCCATCGTCGTCTTCGGCAACGAAGGACTAGATCTACCTACCATTGTTATTATTATTTTATTTATTTTTTATTATTATTATTATTATTATTATTATTATTATTATTATTATTATTATTATTATTATTAGTGTATCGAAAAATTGTTACTAAATCAGTTACAAGATAAAAAAGAAATCATTTAATAAATATTTATGGTTCTGTTAAAGTTTGTCAAGAGTTAAGCAGACCACCTTTGATGGAGAGAAAAAATACACACCCTCTCTTCTTTTACACACATGACCTCTGCACAAAGTTCTTTTTTCTTTTTTTAACTCATAAATGCATGACCTCCAAAATTTTCACAAATGGTATAAACACACACGTGTATACTATATTAATATATAATATAAAACACACAAACAAGCACAAGCACAGAACACAACACAAGGACGCACACATACGCAAATACACACACTCACACACACACACACACA